GAAAGGTATAGAAAGCTATATAAGGATAGAAAAATAGCAAGGGAGAAAAAGAATAAAGATCAAGAGAGGCAAGACTATAAGAGAAAAATTTTCTATCTTTCTATATCATTCTATCTTTCTATATCTTCCTCTATCTTTTTCTATCTTTCTATCTTTTTATATCTTTCTTCTGTGTATTTTTCTACATCTTTCCATCTTTCTCTATTTTTCTATATTTTCTATAGCTTTTATCTGTGCATTTTTCTATATCTTTCTAGCTTTCTATATATTTCTAAATCTTTCCATCTTTCTCATTTTTCTATATCTTTCTATCTTTCTATCCCTTTCTATATCTTTCTATCTGTGTATTTTTCTACATCTTTCTATCTTTCTCTATCTTTCTACATTTTTTATATTTCTATATCCTTCTATTATTTTTCTAGCTTTCTATATCTTTCTGCTTTCTAGATCTTTCTATCTTTCTATATAAAAGTGAATAAAGTGGGGTATAAAATCACTCTTCTCGGCAACCGATAATCAGATAACGATCTTGTTCAATCTGAAAAATGAAATCTCTATTTGTGATTGCACAGGATTTGGACGAAACTATGCCGAGAAGGATGAAAGCAATAATTTTAGGAGGCCCTACCAGATATCAAAATACTCGGTTTCTTCTCACTTTTTGTTTGACGAGTAAAGACTTATTTCGACGGGTATTGTCCACCTGATCTGGGGTTTTTTGTTAACGCCGTTCTTTTTGCCTAAAATAATTCGTTGTTTCTTTTGGTTATGGGATATCAAACTAGGGTAAAAATGCTAGTTCCTTTTGCATTTTCCATCCAAAAAGAAAGTCATCGAGTATCTTCCTTCCGGAAATATCACGAGGGGCCGTGGGCGGCTTGTGGCTCTCTTTTTGGCCAGTCGGATCAATGTTCCAGAGGCAAAAAAGGCTGAAAATGCCCTAATTGCATTTTCGTCTGCAGAACTCTTTAGCTCATTAGCCGTCCCGTCCTCTGCAGCGTCATTGAAACCAGAGATTCCTCAGTTCCTTTTGCATTTTCCATCCAAAAAGAAAGTCATTCCGGAAATATCACGAGGGGCCGTGGGCGGCGAAAACCTACTTTTGTGATCCGGTTCAGCAGAGGCAAAAAGGCTGAAAATGCCCTAATTGCATTTTCGCTTTCAGAACTCTTTAGCGCGAACTCTTTAGCTCTTTAGCCGTCCCGTCCTCTGCATCCTCATTGAAACGAGATTCCTCAGTTCCTTTTGCATTTTCCATCCAAAAAGAAAGTCATTGAGTACTCTTCAGCTCCTAGTTTTACAAGCAGCCGCGAATAAGCCAAATGTGTGATTTTTTTGGTTATACTGTTTGACTTGTTGACTTTATCTTATAGTTTTGCCTCTCTTGATCATTATTCCCACGTTAAGGGACTATATTTTTCATCTTATTTGGCGTGTTTATTTATCTCACCGTAAGCTTGTCAAATGCTTCACCTTTAGTATCGATGGTTTCAATTGGCTGGATCGCAGTAATTATGATGTTGTTTGTATATGGCAGTAAAACAACAGATGACAATACTTATTTACGAGAACTGAGAAACGAAAACCAGAATTGGAACACGCCACATCCACAATTTAGAGGCAAGTGTTTAATGCGATTCCGAGGTGTTATCAAAAGGTCAACCAATCAAACGGCTAGCTGACGTGGGTGACCTTGATAAAATTACGTTGCTACCATCACTTTGATCTTGTTCGGATTATGTTGACCGTAAATAAGACGAAAATTTCATGTTGATATGTTGCTTTAGATTTCCGGCGTTGCAGATGGAAATTGTGCCCGCACCTGAACCAGCCAAATCCTTGGAGCTTCTTCTGGCGGTAAACTCGCTCATAAATTTGCCGAAAGTTCTGAGTCATCTCTTTTTCTATTCCTAATATGTCATTTTCATTGTAAAATCAGCTATAAATGTTTGAGCACTTAGTTTCTTGAATAAAGTCATTAAGCAAGTCGAGAAGCATAAAGAAAAAAGCTTTCTGAACCAAGAATCGAACAAATAATGTTTTCGGCGACTTCACGGTGTGGTAGTTGGGAAGGTTTGTTGACCATGCAGTGTCAGTGACCCAAGTAATCTTTAAAAGTTCTCTCTTTGGTATCATAGTCTTTGGTATGTGTGAAGTTTTGCACCTACCAAGATCAGCTTTTAAAACGCTTTTAAGCTTTTAAAATTTTTAATTTTTTAACAAGTTTTAAAAATTGTTTTTTAAGTATTTTGTAGCATTTTTACTCTCTTAAAAGAAACAACGAATTATTTTAAGCAAAAAGAGCGAAGTTAACAAGAAACCTCAGAACAGGTGGACAATCGAACCCCGTCGAAATAAGTCTTTACCCGTTGAACAAGAAGTGAGAAAAGCCGGTAATTTTGATGACTGGTAGGACCTTCTAAAATTATTGCCTGAATCCTTCTCGGCATATTGTCGTCCAAATCCTGAGCAATCACAAATAGAGATCTCATTTTTCAGATTAATTGCCACCACTGTTTGCTTCACTTTCCGTTCTTGCCTTTGTCGGATTCCAATCTCAGTATTGTTTCTATGACTAAAGAATCGTGTTAGCTTAGTCGTCCAAACTTGCCTGACCTACAATTCAGCTTCAATCTTCAAGTTCCAAGTTAAATCTAAGCTGCTGACTAAATGCCAGAAAACTCACTCACCGCTTCCTAAGTACCCGAATAATTAAGAGATTGCAGAGAGTAATGAAGATTGGTGGGATGAAGATTGGTGGGACGAGGAGGGCTGAAAAAAAAATCGAGATCTTTGCCTCCATGAAGTAGGGGCCTTTATGTATGAGACCCGCATACTCCAAGGTACTGTATCTGGTATCTGTATAGTATCTGGCAGCTAGCTGAAATCAGTGAAACAGTTAAAAGTAGCTTTTGTCTTCTATGAAATGAGTTAATCAGAAAAGCTGTGCAGAGATCGGTTTAAAAACTCTATAAAGTCATCCACCACAAACTTTGAAAAACACAACTCAAAACCGGCAAAAAACGTAAGAATGTATAGAAAGATAGAAAGACATAGAAAGATATTGAAAGATAAAGAAGGATCGAAAGATATAGAAAAATAGAAAGATATATAAAGATATAGAAAGATATAGAAATACAGAAAAAGAGAAAGATATAGAAAGGTGTAAAAAAAGAAAGATATAGAAAGGTAGAAAGATATAGAAAAATAGAAAGAAATAGAAAGAAATAGAATTTCTATAGAAAAATAGAAAGCAATAGAAAGATAGATAGATGTAGAAAGATATAAAGATATAGAAAGACACAAATATAGAAAGATAGAAAAATATAGAAATATATGCAAAGATATAGAAAGATATTGAAAGATATAGAAAGATAGAAAGATATAGAAAGATAGAAAGATATTGAAAGATATTGAAAGATATAGAAAGCTAGAAAGATATAGAAAGATAGAAAGATATGGAAAGATAAAGAAGGATCGAAAGATATAGAAAAATAGAAAGATATAGAAAGATATAGGAAGATATAGAAATACAGAAAAATAGAAAGATATAGGGAGATAGAAAAATTAGAAAGATTTAGAAGGTAGAAAGATATATAAAGACAGAAAGATATAGAGAGATAGAGAAAGATATAGAAAGATATAAAGATATAAAAAGATAGAAAGATAGAGAAAGATAGAGAAAGTTATAGAAAGATGGAAAGTTATAGAAAGATAGAAAAATAGAAAGATATAGAAAGGCAGAAAGATATAAAAAATAGAAAGAAATAGAAAGATAGATAGATGTAGAAAGATATAAAGATATAGAAAGTACAAAGGCAGAAAGAATAGAAGAAGATATAGAAAGATATAGGGATATAGAAAGATAGAGAAAAATATAGAAAGACGGAACGATATCTGGAAAGATAGAAAGATAAAAAGATTTAGCAAGATAGAAAGAAATAGAAAGTTAAAAAGATTTAGCAAGAAAGACCCATACATATAAAGACAGAAAGATATTTGATTTCGATATAATCAATTCCAGGGACTGCAATTTTGCACCATTCCTCCCCAATCCATTCCATTTCACTTCCCTCTCAATTCTCATCGATATAAAGGTTGAATCATTACAACTGAGTTCTCGACACTCACATAACTGGAGTTCTAGGAGAAAAACAAGTAGCTAATGAATATTTTGTACAAATAAAGATATTAAGATTCCAAACTTTTATTGATTCAAAAATCATTAACGATATCTCTTAAAATTTGCATAAAAAACTTATTTCATGAATTTTCCCTTTCAGATTGACTTGAAATCTTCGCCTTGACTTTAAAACAAATTTTTCAAGATTCAGGTGGATCAAAGAAAATAGGACTATTTTTGCGGGGAAACTTAATAAAAACTTTAATTTTTAAGACTGCGGGCTTTCTTAATAATTCAACGATATTAAACATCTATCCTAACATCTATCATAAATCCAAAACTAATTCTTAACACTAATATTTTTTGCAAAAAGAGAGCTCGATTTGAAGGAATGGTCCTAAACTAGAATAATAATGAAAGTTTTCGGGCTTCAGGTTTAAAGAATGATAAGAGATTGTAACAAACAAATGTCCACGCCATAGTTTTTTCTTCCTTTTACTCGAAAACATCATCAGGTAGAAATCCTGCCGCTATTTTACTTTAGCGTACAAAATATTAAAAGCTAAGTCATAATCAATAACTCGTGTTGATATTCATTACATATTTATAGACATAAGCATAAAGCCCAGAACGGTTGCTTGGCTATGAAATCTCTTCTGATATCAATCGATGAATTGGGATTGGAGAAAGAGGGAAGGGAAGAGGAGGGGAAACAAGAGAGGGGGAGGAGGTGGGAAGATGAGGAGAAGTTGGCAAAACTTCGGTACTGTGAAAAGTATTTATTCTAGAATGTAAGTATCTCAAAATTATTTTATTGCTTCAGAAGTTTAAGCGCAAAGTCGTTGGCTACTTTGCACGCAACCGAGGGAGAATTGTCAAAACTTCGGGAATGTGAAAAGTATTTATTCCAAAACATAATCAAACATAATCCTAAATTTAGCGATGGAAAGATCTGCGGCGCTTGGCACCAAATTTGTCAGGGCAAATTGTGGAGGATGCTTGGAAACAACAGTTAGCTGAAAACAGTAGGTGATTATTCGAATGATTATATTTCAAATCACCACGTTTTCAGATGCCCATGGGCAAAATTTTTGGGGAAGGAGTGAAGGGAAGAGGAGGGAAGGAAAGAGAGGGTGGAGAGAGAGGAGGGGGAATATGATGGAAAAGGGGAAGGGATAAGACAAGCGATTGCCTATATAGAAATCAGAATTGGCTTGGGGTGGCTGTGAGGACCATCCAGAAGATTGTAAGGCAATGGAAAGATGAAGGAAATGTTCAAGGACGAAAGAGGACCGTTAACACCCGAACGATGCGAGGAGGATCGTGGTTAGAACAATTACATATCAATAGTTTTATTCGCAGTTTTAATAAAGTCATTTTCTAAAGCTGCCCATCTCTAATGCTCTTGTATCAAAACCGATTTTTTCCTTAACAATAGCTGTGCCAGCTGAGCTTTACACCTAAAACACAATAGTTAGTAATTTTCTGCTCATTTCAAATCCACAGACTCAAATTAATTCAATTTACGGTAGAGTAATAATTCTTATCGTATATATCTATGGATATTTAAAACTCACCGGATCCAAACGGAAACGAATTTGCAATTCCAGTCCTTTGAGGATGTTCATCCCGCCAATTGTGCGATCCACCTGAATCTTGAAAAATTTGTTTTAAAGTCAAGGCAAAGATTTTAAGTCAATCTGAAAGGGAAAATTCATGAAATAAGTTTTTTATGCAAATTTTATCGATATCGCTAATGATTTTTGAATCAATAAAAGTTTGGAATCTTAATATCTTTATCTGTACAAAATATTCATTAGCTACTTGTTTTTTTTTCCTAGAACTCAGTTGTGTGAGTGTCGAGAACTCAGTTGTAATGATTCAACTTTTATATCGATGAGAATTGAGAGGGAAGTGAAATGGAATGGATTGGGGAGGAATGGTGAAAAATTGCAGTCCCTGGGATTGATTATATCGAAATCAAAGGGAAAGATGGAAAGGAGGGGCAGAGAGACATTTCCTTTCCATTTTCGCCTTTTTGCCTCATTTTTCGATCTCCCCACTCTATTTTTCGGGATATCCGTTTAAATAAAATCATTTTGAACCACCACAAAACCAGTTATTCTTTCTCTTTTCAATTGGATCGGGATCCGGTGTAGGGAGGTGGTTTGATCAATTTAACACAATTTTCCGGAAGCTATCCGGGCAGACGAGCTCTGGTACCAGTGTGTTTGAAGTGTCACCACCATCAGTCTCGGCTTGGGTTTCGGGTCGTCGTCCTGGTGAATCCATCCGGGAGGCATCCTTTAATTGGCAAAGGGAAGCATTTGGGTCTCCATAATGTTCTTGTAAGCCACAGCATCCATCACCGAGTATATGACTTACAGATTAATGGACCTAATGAAGTTCGAGACATTGTTCCTAAGGAAAAAAATACCAAAACGGTTCTTACCCAACACAGATGTTTCCGCCGTTGAGTTTCACGCCGTTCCGAATGTACTTGAGTGCATACCGTTCGCCGAATAAGATGGTTTCCATCCGCGTGAAATAAATTGATTTTTGTCTCATTGTAAATAACGCTTTCGCCCAAACACGCTTCGTCCAACTTTGGTAGGTCCGTGATAGTCAAGGTGCTACTTCCTTTTGACCTTTGATTGAGAGAGAATGTGGTGCAGCGTTCCTCTCGAGCAAGTGAAGATGTTGGTCACATAATTTCCCACTATATTTAAAGGTCA